ACCGAGAAAAGATAGGAATATCATAATGAACAGAACCAAAACAGAAAGTTAGCTAAAGAGTAAGTTATTTTTTGATAAAAATATCATGTTAAAGTCATAATTTGAATTTTGTTTCGTCAAAAACGCTCGTTTCGAGTCGTTGAAAATCCAGAGCTCATTTCTCGTCCAAATTGAAGAGGAATTGAGCAAATAGTCCAGGCAGTTGAAACAGTATTTAAAAAAAGTCAGTTTTCCCCAATAGTTTTCGCTTTTAATCCCATATTATTTGTACTATACATATAATAATAAATAATAAATGCATCGCCCTGCCGATCACCTTTCTATCTCTAGCTCTAAGAAAACATGCTGTTATGTAAGTTTTCTATGTCGATCTTTCTTTCCACAGCCCTCTTTTTTTCTTTCCGTTCTTCTTCATAATCTTCATCATCTGTGGGAAGTTCGAATCTGCACACCGGACAGGAATTGGTCTATAAACAAATCTCTTTGCTGCAGTAAATATTCATTCAACATGTTTACTTAATTTGTCGCGATATCAAGAACTTTTTATTATTCATTTTAAGAGGAAAGTTATTCTTCATACAAAGTTCTGTATGGACTCAGTGATGGCTGCTATTAAAGATTTTAAGGTGTTTTCTGTTGTAGTTAAACATACATTTATCCAATAAGTATGATATAATTTAGCCCTAATATTAGTTGCACTATGGTTGCACCTAGTAAAGATTTGAAACGATTATGAAAATGGCCTTTAAAACGCAAGTGTAATTTTATCTTCTAAGTGAAGTTCTCTAGATCGATTACCGTCCATTATGTCTAAACATTAAAGCCACCAAAAGAGGAACACGGAAAACAATATAAAGCATCCATCATAAATCCAGTCATTTTTTTAAATCAATATCTCAATTAAATTTACGTGTGTAACATTTTCTACCACTCATACCAGTTTTTCAATAATATTATCTGATAGTGAACCTTTTCGAGGGTAATTGCATAAGTGCTTCAAAATTACCGATAATTTTGCATGAAAGATTGTCTAAAAACTGCATGAGTTTATTTTCATATTGTGGCGAAAAAGCCCGACTCCGAAGGAGGAGCACAAACTGTATTATTATTTTTAAGTTGAATTGAGGTAAGTCGTAAGTAAGGTAGAAAGTCGGGTAAGAAATACTCGATGCCCAGAAATAACCGATACTAATCAATAATGTAGTAGCGCTGAACCAAGTGCAGCGAAGTCTCCATTTAGTCATCACTTTGCGGAAAAGTATGTAAAGATGTGTGTTAAAAATGCATATAAAAAAATGGAGAAATGTAAAACCAAACCACAATTCAAACTCTGCTTACTCTTGAGCTAAACCCATTACTTTTTGCAAAACTTGAAAAATTCGAATATCTGTTGGTTGCGTTTTCGGTTTTAGACCAGACAAAACTTTTCATGAAGAACCCTTTTTTTATACAACTAACAATAAAAGTTTTCTATACAGGGTGTCTCACGGTAAGCGTCCATTAGAATATTCGGGAAGTAATGCGATTTGCATCCCGCAAATTTAGATAATGGGATTTTCGACGAGACGAATCCTTTCAGATGCTCTTTTCAGTTGAAATAACAGCGACATTATGCGACTTCCGGTTAAACCAGAAGTTGTCTCAAACCTAATTTTTTTGAATGAAACACCCAAAT